CCACTGAGATTTGCCAAGTTCTGGTAACATACCTCTCCCTTTTAAAGCAGCAGTCCTGTGATCAGAGATCCGTGAATCTGCCGCTTTATCCTCCAGAGGCAGGAAGTGCAAAGAAGTCATCCAGCAAGACTAGCACCGGGCCTCTCCTGTCTCTCGGCTTGGAAAAGCTGCTTCACGCAGGCAGCACGCTCCCATTTCCTGAGAGGGCTGAGATGCGCCAAGCATCTGTCTGGCTTCCATGCCTGGCAGTGGTTGTGCTGTTTGCCTGTGGAGCTCTCTGATGGAGATTAGAGAAATATTGTTGCTCTTTGAGTTAATTTTGGAGTCACTTTACCACAGTCCTCTCACTAAAAGCACCTGAAAAACCCCATTAGCTTGAGTTAGCATGTAGCTAATCTCCAGCTGATCTCCCACTGAGGTGGAGCATGACCTCACGTAAGTGGCCAGGGGACTCGGCTCCAATTGCAGCAGTCTGAGGCTCTGCTTGTATGTAAACAGTCCATATTACTGCTCCACAGGTGACCAGCATGACTACAGACATGCTGGTCAGCTGCACTGGAGCTCCTTCTTAGCTTCTTGGGTTAGCTAAGTTAGAAAGTAGCTACCATGGTTCATTTGCTCCAACCCTGTTCCAACCGTAACTCTCAGCTCCACTTCTTTATAACTATTTTGGATTGTCCGGGCGTGACGAGACGTGTGGCATGGTCAAAATGGCGGTGGTGGGAACCTCCCATTCTCTCTAAAAATGAATTACTTGAGCATATGGACATTATTTGTCCATTATACGGTATGTGTCAATAGTTAGAATGAATCAGTGTGAATTAACCAAAGTACTGTTCAGTGACTCTATTGGGCCATTTTGAGTACACACCCCAGCTCAGGTCTCCATTGGTTCTATTTGGCCAGCCCACTGAAATGAAGAAATGTAAAATTACCCCAAAGTCATGATAGTGGAAATGGTCACATTGACCAAATGCACCTCTAGAGATTGTTCTGCAGTGGATGCATTTTTGTAACTTTTATATTTTGTGACCAGTGCAGCAGCTGGCGGACTGAAGTACAACTTGCTAACAGCCTGACCCTGAACACCAACAAATCCAAACATATTATCAGTGACACAAGAAGGAAAAAGGTGGAGCACCAGTCACTCACAATAAATGGAGAGCAAGTGGAGAGGGTGTCTTAGCTCAAGTCCCTCATATCAGAGGACCTCACATGGACACACAACACCAAATGTCTGATCAAGAAGGCACAACAACAGCTATACTTCCCTACGGCTCCCGGGAAGACCAACCTGCCACAAAAACTGCTGGTGCAGTTTTATCACTGCTCCATAGAGAGATAGAGAGTGTTCTGACCAACAGCATCCTGGTGTGGTACAGCAGCAGACCTGCAGCTGACAGGAATGCTCTGCAGAGAGTAATCAAAACTGCAGAGAAAATAACAAACACACACCTGCCTGCCCTGGATGACGTCTTCATCACTCGCTGCCTTCAAAAAACCACAAACGTCCTAAAGGACCACCATGCTGTTAAACAGCTTTTCTACAAGAACTAACACTGAACTGAATGTTGCTGCTAGGACAGGGGTCGGCAGCCCACGGCTCTGGAGCCATTCATCCATCTGACACAGCTCTCTGTGCTTGTAAAGTAATGAATGAGTATTTAATTTAAAATGTATTTTATTTTTCTGCATTCATTTTTTTCTATATTCTAAATGTAAAGATTGTCTTCTTAGCTGTAACATTATGAAATGTACCTCTGGAAGTACAAACGACTTTCCAAAGTCTTTGCTACAGGAAAAACAGCACTAACCCCGGCTTTCCACGGGAGCCGTCAGCAGCACGTTACTGCAGCAGCACGTCATAGCTGCTGATAGGAACCGCTGTGGTCAACAGAACCTTTTCCACCGGAGCCGTCAGCAGCCGTCAGCAGCGCGAGTCGGCCGCGTCTCAGGAGCAGCAAGTCGCGGCCTTTACGCGCCGGTTCTATTTTCTACGCGCGACGCCTCTGAAACGGGTCAAGTTCGATATTTTTGGGGAAGGAAAAACAGGAAATCGGACGCAGAAATGGAGAGAATCTACCGAGATTTTCAGAATAAAGAACGTACTGCTTTCCGGTTGCTTTACTTTTATAAAAGGTTACTAACTGTGCGGCCCCGTGAGAAGTTATCACCTAGCTAGCGGTCTCCTTTGTTTTTCAGGTCCGTATTGGGGATTATAAAACGGACAGAACATAAAACACAAACCATGTTATAGTTTCTCCTGCTGTTGTTGTGTTTACTGACGAAGTCACTCGTGTGACTTCGTGCTCGGTCGGTGACAGCTGCTCTCCTGCTGCTTCGCGTCTCGTGGGAAGGGCCAAGCAGCAGCTTACGCGAGCAAGACGTGCTGCTGCAGTAACGTGCTGCTGACGGCTCCCGTGGAAACCCGGGGAAAGAGGATCACAATTTCATCAGCAGTAAAGTATTAAAGTACATCAGAAAACAAACTATTGCCCTCGATTGTGTTATGATAAATTTAGCAAGTTAGCCGGGTGGTTGAGTGTGATGTTATGGTTACGGTTGTTTACCCCTCTGACACAAACATAACTTTTACTTGTTAAAAACATGATCATCTTTGTGAGAAGTGACGCATATCTGGGTCACAAAGACAAGCACTACTTGCTTAGTATGAGGATTGCTGTAAAGTCGATGCAATCTGCTGGTTTCCTTATATTAGTTGTAGACCATATCACCCGGACCTATCTAAATATTGGTATATTCTTGCCATCCTGATGGGCACAAGTCTAACAGATGTGTAGTTGCAAAACAGAGTAAAAAAGCACAAAGCAGTTGCCTGTTTGAGTAACAGTCCACATAATGTAAGAAGGCCTGAATTAAAACAAAAACCATCTTCGCTTTAAGGTCAGTTTGCATCAGTAATTGTGGGAATGTACGTCCAACAGGGATTCAATAAGGTGTGAAATAATGATGCAAAAATGTGAATCTCAAGGAAGAAACCAGGCAGCAAGAGGCTGGTTAAATTTTCAAGTTACGATTGATTTTTTTTTTCTTAAAAAAAAAAAAAAAGAAATCCCAAAGACAAATTATTGGATCAGCTAAACACAAACCACATATAAAAATGTTGCAATTTAGTGTCTTATGGTAAATGAGCTGCATTTGTATAGTTCTTTACACTACAGTCATTCATTCACCCATTCGCAAACACACACACACTGCTGCCACACAATATGCACCACTGCTCCCTCCAACCACCACCTGCAGGTAAGGCAAGGTGACGCAACAACAGACATGAGCAGAGCCTGGGTTTGAACCGACAACCCAGTACTGGATGAACTCTTAACCCCTGAGCCACAATTGCCCCAATATTTATACCAAATTAATGGTTTTATTGACAGTAAAATTTACAAAGGGATTATTGGATAGGTTTTCCCAGAATTCAGTCATCTAACTTTTACATAGATATCAAACCTCCGGGAATTTATTTGGGCTGCAATTTGAAATTTGCAACACTTGAATGTTCCTAAAACTCACAAATAAAGTCAAAGATCAACACTAATTGAAAAATTCTTTAAAACACATTTAGCTTTATACTTTTCTTTAAACTTTCACATTAGTAATCTAAAATGCATCAGGTGGGTTTGGGAGCATAAGGCTGTAAAAACATCTGTCCACGTAGACTAAAAGAAACAACACCAAACCCACAGGGCGTACCATGAAGAGGTGCGAGCTGAAGGCAAACCCATGACTCTAAGAGCACAAACTTTATATTATTGTTGTTACTGAAAAAAAAACTCTGCATGCAAATTGATAGGGTTTGCGAAATACTGATCACTCAGAGATCAGACTTTTGCTCAAACACTCTTGCAATAATTCTGTAGAGCTTTACTAACATTCCTCAGGCTAACTTTAACAAACTGAGTAAAACATGAACTCTACTTTTCATAAGTAGAGTCCCTCCAAATTTCACAGCTTAGGCATTTTAAATAACAGCTTGGTCAATTGTACTTCTTACATTACATGATTATTTATGCACATTTGTAAAAACAATTTAATAAAACCAACAAATAATTCTTATTTAACACCGCCACGTGTCTTACTCCTTTAAAACACCTTAAAGCTAGCAACAAACCAGTGAAAACGGATACTTTCATCAAAATATGCAACATCAAATTACACAAGAATAAATCAGACTAAGCAATAACATGTAAATACTTTCACACCAACCTGAAAACAATCAGAACGTTTAGGAAAAAAACACCTATTCAGATTGCTTATGAGTGTTTTCATGTTGTTTTCTAATCTTCACCGGTGCAGCAGCTATAATCTATAATCTAAACACGAAGAGCCTTAACAGATTCAGCACCATGGACAGCACTTACAACATACCCTTCATCTCAGGAAGGTTTTTCTACAGATATCCCCTTTTAAGTAAAGAGGTCTGAACTTTGATGACATGTTTTTAATTCCAGGTGAAAAACTCACGAGGAGACAGCAAATATTATCTTACATTTGGTTGCATCAAGGCACAGATTGCCATTTGAAGTAGAAGTTGCAGCAAAGAGATAAAAGTTTGGCTGCGTGTTGTTTATAGGAAGTTGTAAAACAGTTCTGGCTTCAAGCTATCGAAGTAAAATCACGTGAACAAGCACAGAGCACCGGAAGACGTCTCCTTTACACCAATAAATCGGGTTTTACCTGGATAATGTGAATGAATTCACTAGCATCGCAATGCTATGAGGCCTATTGTTCCTGCAGGAGAAGTGTTGCATTTCGGCTTCATTAAAAACTCTAATCTGACTGGCGATGAAGCACCGAGCACCTGGCTGGACACCAGATCTGCTCTGTTTGGACGCACTACTGCTACCAGCGTTGATCCAAACAGTGGAAGCGTGCTGTACCCGGCCTAGGCTAATAGACAGATGTTAAGTGTCATAATACACATATTTAATCCGCTTAACTGGTGGCCAATAAACCAAACTGGTGTTAGGAAAGCTCACCCAGGACGAAGAAGGGGAGCTCAGTGTTTTCCAGGTCGTCCACCACCACGACGTCTCCGGGAAAGTCGTTCCTGACGGAGAACAGCAGCTTGGGCTCGGAGGCCGACGGACTGTGCATGATGCTCAGGTCGTTCTCCCGAAGAAACGGCAGCGCCGACACGGTGACGCTCTTTATCTTGCACTCGGTGTCCTGGCTCTGGTCCTCGTCGCCGTTAAGACACCGGACACGATGCGTTTGAGAAGCCAGAAGGAGCCACGCCAGCCCCAGCAGCCGCAGCCGCAGCTCCATGTTGATGCTCGCCATCTCCGTCGCTCCTTTTGCCTCTCTCCCCTCCTCGTTGCGTCTCTTGCAGGCTGCTGGAGTGGAGCAGCGCGGCGGCTGAGAGGCTGCAGAGTGTGTGTGGGGAGTGCAGTGCACCCGCGGGCTCTCTCAATATCAAAAACAAACGCCTCCTGTTCCCTTCTCTCCTCTTCTCTTCTCTGATAAGTCACGTGTTTTGTGTGGCTATACAGCTGAACTGTGAGGCTGTTGGTTTGTTTTAATGCTGTTGACCCCTTTACTATATCTGATCGATAAACTGCCTAAAGGGCTCACTAATAGCAGGGCATAGATTACTAACAGCGCGTGCCCTCAATGCCCCATCAACAAAAGCTTCATCCGTTTTAACTGAGTTCAACATTTGCATATCATCTGCAAAGGAAGACACTGGACATCTTTGTTGGTGTGCCTGGCCTCCTTTTTAATGTGTGGATGCTTGATCTGTGTATGGATAATTGCTTAATTGATGACATGAATGCATAAACTAACAATAAATAAGCGTTTGCACTAAAAGTGACTCAAATGTACAAACTAGTAATTAAATAAACCATACTAGTACATAATTGGACTTTATTTGTTTTCAATAATACCGTAGCTACATAGTGATGTGGACAAATATTTAGCCTGTTGTGCTTAAAAAGTGCACAGTTAGTGCCAAGTAGCCCAAGTATTTACCCCAACACCATCATAGCTGGAATGTTGATCCAAAGAGGATCTAGGATTTTCACCAAGCTGACACCACAGTCTGGAAAAAAGATTTCCTGGTCTGACGAGTTTCAATTTTAACTGCGACATTCAAACACTCACTGTCAATTCAATTCGGGTTATTTATATAGTCCCAATTCACAACAATCATCATTTCAACGCACTTTACAAAGTAAATATTCCAACTATTCCAATATGCCATTTATCAGTGAAAAGATGAATTAGTCCAATTAGTTTTCTATTTGAGGAAACCCAGCAGATTGCATTGAGTCGCTGACTTGCTGTGTCAGTGACTTTAAAGTGGTCACCTCTAAGCAAGCATGCAGCGATAGTGGAGAGTAAAACTCCCCTTTAACAGGAAGAAACCTCCAGAACCTGGCTCAGTATGAGCAGCTATCTGCTGCGGCTGACTGGGGGTTTGAGAAGACAGAGCAGATACACTAAAAACAAACAGATTAACTCGTAGTTAGAGTGGAGAAAGGGCTTTCTCTGTCTGTGCACCGAAGCTGTGGAACACATTACCACTGCTAGTGAGGCAAGCACCAACAGCTAGCATTTTTAAATCACGCCTGAAAACTCACAACTTCAACCTAGCTTATACCACATAATTATGGACCTCACTGACATCTACACTGTTTAAAAATGGACTCCACAATTATCGACTTCCGTATTATTGAGGTTCTTTGTAAAATGTTTTTTCCTATTTTTATTCACCCTGTGTCTTATTGATTTTTAGCTGTTATTTTTGGGAATTTTGTTGTATTTCCTTTTTATCTTTTATCTGTGTTCGACATGTTTGTATAACGCCGGTTTAATTAACCAACATTTTTAGTGTACAGCTCCTTGTTTGGTTGTAATGCCTTGTGAATGCGCTTTATAAATAAAATTGGATTGGATTGGATTGGATAGTAGCACAGTCTATGTTAACCCTCTGGAGGCAGGCAATGCAGATTTGCAAAGTTAAAACTTACCTACCTGGTTACTCCACATACGTATTTCATGAGCATTTTTTTTTACTCAGAAGTATCCCTGAAGGACTTAGTTGTTTGTCCTTTTATCAAAACTTATTTTGAGCCTGAGAGGGTTAAATGAGGTAAAATGCTACCATCAGGGGAGGGAAAATGTTCAGTGGTCGGCAGTCGATGGTATCACCTTCCTGTTCTTATCTGAAGGGATTGGTCTTCTGCCACTGAGTACCTCTGCTTCTAGGTTCAACATGTTGAATTTTCAGAGATGCAATTCTGCAGACTTTGATTGTATCAAGTGGCTTTTTGAGTGACTGTTTTTTTTCTGTAATCTATAACCGTTCTGCACATTCTCTGTAACGTCAAACACCAACAAGACATTGTCATCCATGCTGTGCTGCTAATAGTTTATTTTCTTATTTTCAGACAATTCTCTATAAATCTGAGAAACGGTTGTGACTAAACATCCCAGTAGATCAGCGGCTGTTGATTGGATAACGAGCTGTTAAGCAGATATTGTGGCAGGTTAGTGCATATTCACGGGGGAGGAGGCTATGGACAACTGGAACTGCATGAAGCACATTGAGGTGCCTCTTTGTATGAAATGTGCCATTTAAAAAAAACTGCCTTGCCAATGTGCGTCTTAGAGCAATTTCAGAATAAAACAAAGAATACAAATGATCACGTTGTTACGAATAAAAAGTGGAAGGGATTTAAGGGGAGACACAGGTGTGTGTGCACTTGACTGACATCCCTAAGAACGTCAGGAAAAGTGGTTTATAGAGCATTTTTATTCAACCTGACTGGATTTAATGCCAGTCATAGATGCAGGGTCTTAAAAATCCCTGCAGAAACACAGAGGTTTTCAATGTTTACCACTTGGATGCATGACAAAAATACATTTTGAAAGCAGTCAAGACTGGTGCAATGACAGTTTTTGCTCAACAGGAATGCAAAATCATATCAGTGTCAGCTGTTCATGACATGATGCCGTCGTATTTTCTGTGTTTAGAGAATGTAAATGGCCAGAGAAAGGACCATTATTATCCCAGACATGGATATTTTTAAACTCTTATATGGTTTTCTAAGCTAACAAAAAGATTAGTGTGGTTTTCTTAAAGGAGTTTAAATAAAACACAAAATTCTGTTTTTATTCAAAATTTTTATTTCTATTTCTGGGCCAGGGAACCAAACAGCCAGCTAAGTTTCCCAAACTGGTGTGTGTGTGTGTGTGTGTGTGTGTGTGTGTGTGTGTGTGTGTGTGTGTGTGTGTGTGTGTGTGTGTGTGTGTGTGTGTGTGTGTGTGTGTGTGTGTGTGTGTGTGTGTGTGTGTGTGTGTGTGTGTGTGTGTGTGTGTGTGTGTGTGTGTGTGTGTGTGTGTGTGTGTGTGTGAGAGAGAGAGAGAGAGAGATAGATGCCATCTCTATTATACGAATGTTCGTCTCTCCCATTACATAAAAAAAACATGGAAACTCGCATCCTTGAGCTACCAGTAGTTCCAATGGTAGTTCAGTATGTTTTATAAAGTAGTTGTTTGCATGAAAATAAATGAAGCAACAATCAAATCAATAAATGAACAAACCCAGAGACAAACTTCTCTAAATTCCACTGAGACGGACGTTTGCAGGGAGCTTTCTCATTCCAAATCCCTTGACTGCTTTGTTGACCACACAATTGCAGTTTGGATTTGGAAGCAAAGCCTGAAGAAAAGAAGATTGGGTTTTCTGTGTCACCACCACCCATCCATTTAATATTTAAGCAGCTCTGTCGTCTGTTAACTGCTGATTCTTCCAGTTGATCTGTGCTCTCATAAAAAAAAAACAATTCTAAAGTCCCAAATAAATCAGGATCAAGGCCTGAAGTCGTGGAATAAAAGGAAGTTGACTGGCTTCAGATGCTTCAGTGAAATAGTCCAAACACAACAACGATAAAAGAGATATATGGAATATAATTGTTAGGGTGATTATCAATGAAGGTCTGATTGTTTTCCTAACTGCTGACAAAAAGAAAGATTGTTCATAAAAATAATCTGAATATTTAGCTATTTTCAGGGTTTATGCAGTTCGAAGTTTAAAAAGTTCAACTTGAATCCAAATCTACTGATTTGCTGTAAGGTATCAGACACATATTACAGATTATTTAATATGTTGACTTAATGTGAACATTAACCCTACGGCTTCACTATAGATGTTCTGGTCTTCGTAAAGCTTAAGAGTATTAGAGTGAAGCCTAAGGGTTAACACATGTGATGAAGGGATCATTTTTGGTCCATGAACATTAATGTCCACAAAGGTTTACTGACTGATGCGTTTTTTTTTTTGTTTCACCACACATACACACACACACACCCACACACACCCACACACACACACACACACACACACACACACACACACACACACACACACACACACACACACACACACACACACACACACACCACACACACACACACACACACACACACACACACACAGACTGGTGCTCGGAAGACTAATCCTCAAATCAGAATTGAGAATAAAGAGACGTGTTTTTAACAGCAGCTGAAAATTTTTTATTACAGGAACCATTTTTAAAATTTTCAGTTGTAGAAGAGAAGTTGCAAATGTTTCCAATCATTTGTATTTTTGAGTTTTATTTATAATGGAAAACATTGTAATTTAATTAATTTTATTAAAGAGCAAGTCACCCCCAAATCAACTTTTTGTTGCTGATAAACTATATGAATGAGTGGATAATATTGCTGTACACCCATGTAGTCAATCATTTGTCACTTTAGTACATCTTAGTTAAAATTTTAATATTCTGCCTAAAACTGTCAGTGTTGCACAGTCGTCAGATAAAAACTCTGCACAACATTTGAATTTAAATCTGCCATTGCTATTGGCTAAGACGTACACTACAATGTTAGCTGGCACATTATGATGTCACAATGTCATTGTGAGCCTGTTTGTGTATTTGTTAGTGGCTCCGCCCTCTCAGCCTGCCAGGCAACAGCAATTGTTGCATCTGTCAAACATGGAGTGGAGTAAGACTCTGGCTTTATTTAAAGAGTAAGTCACCCCCTACCAATCAACAATGAGTCATTGAGAGCCTTTAGATTCAAGAATGTAATAATAAATAATTCAAAGGCTGCCTTTGTTTTTTCAAAGCTCTCTGATATGTCTCAAGGCTGCACCAGCAAAGAAACATTCTACAAACAAATCAGCTGTGGCTTTTTAAAGAGTATTTTACAACATTCCTATTATAACAGATAAAGATCAAGTTTAGCTTGGTTCTGAATATTGAGACAAAACTGTGATTATGTCACGTTTGAGCCAGGAGGAGGTCAGGACCCAAGATGCAGAAACCCAGAACGACACAAGGCAGGATCGTAGTAAAACGTAAAATCCTTTTATTAGGAGGGAATGTCCAAAAATCCAAACAATCCAAGAAGGGGCAGTAAGCCAAGCCTCAAGTCAGTAACCCAACTGACAAAAAC